ACAATTGTGTTATTTTCTTTATTAGCGACATAAATTGTGTTGTTTGTACTCACAAAAATGGCGGTAGGATATTCACCAACACTCGATTGATTAGCAAAGGTAATTGCATTGAAATTCCAAGCGGCTGTTAGACAAAACTTTGGTTGATTGGATGAAACACCTGGAAACGAAAAAAATAGAAAGACTATTAGAGGAGAACTAAAGAAAATGAAATTGTTATTTTACATATTCATAGAAGAAAGATAAAGTTTTTTCAAAGTTATTGTTGACAAAAAAGACATTTAGAAATGTTTGTCAAGATTGATTTTAGCAACGACTTTATCGATTTTGGTATGAAATATAAATTATTATTTTATTGAAATTTATTTGTTTAACTTTTGTTGAAAATCTTGTGATAAATTCAAATAAATTGTTTGTTAGAAAATAGTCAAATACAACAATTTATTGATTTGAAAACAAAAGACTCAATAGAAAAGAAGGAATATTTATGAATTCAGTTTATTTATTTCAATGTTGAGCATCTTTTTCGCTTTTTTCAAGTGAATTTTAATTATCAAGCTAGCTTCTTCGAAAAATAATTCTGCACAAATGTCATTGCAGATCTTTCTTTGAAATAGTTATTGGGGATTAGATTTCTATTGTTAGACATTTATTCAAAGTTTCTCAAACTTGTTTCTGATAAACACTTAAAGTTAATTTAGAGAAAAAATCAAAGGGAAAAGATAAATATCACTATGATTTCTCAATTATCTATATTATCGGGAATATAACTCGATTTATCTTAGTAAATTTCATTGAGAAATGAAAAATAATATTACTACACGTCATATTGATATTGAATGAGAAAAAAATACGATGTATTATGATCCGCAAAAACTCTTCTTTTCTCTCTATAGACATTCTTCATACAAATTCTCGCTCGAACATTTTTTATCTTGAGAAATTTCAAAGGTTCATCAAAGATTACAATATTTCATCTTTGTTCAATATAAATAAAACAAATCTTTCTTTGTAATCTTAATAGTATTTTACACATTTCAATGTTTTTCCTATGAAAAAAGCAACAAAATAAGAAAATGTTTATTTCCATGAGAAAAGAATAAACAATTCTCTTAATACGAAACCACTCATGAACTACACATCTTCAAGAAAAAGTAAAATAAATATTTGTACAACTAACAAATCTTTTATCAATCGAAAAGCTTTTTCTCATTGAAATTTTGAATTGTAAACAAAACTTTATTAGTTGACTTATGAAAAATTTTCATTTAAGAACAGTCTAGAGTAGATTTGATTAAAAATCAATTTTTCTTATTGATCATCGTAAATAAATGAATAAATATTCTTATTCAAAATGAAGTCAATAGATTTTATTTATTTTATCAAATAGACAACTTTGGTCTTTTATAGAAAATATTTTTTATTTACAATTATAATAATAATAACATATCATATCTCGCATTAGCAATGACATATATTACATTATAGATCGTGTTCAACTATTCAATATTACTCTTCGCAATTAAATATTATGATAACTACTCAAAGAAAAAATCATCGGTCAAATATTTCTTTATGAGAAAATTCATTTTTCATAATATTTCATATTAAAAGTTATCTCTCTCAAACAGAAACAATGACTAAATTCATTCTGCACATAAAAAAGAAGAAAAATTAGTTAGAATTGTCAGATTTTATTTCTCCTATTTTTCTTGAATCAAACATATGGACATATGAAATATGAGGTGAAATCATAGAATAATTTATATTAAAACTATGTCGACAAAGATATGAATAGATTTTATTTCGATAAAAAGTGCTTCTTTGATGAAATATTCTTTGAGACATGAAATGAAACATGAAAGTCTTTTCTATCATTGCATTAAGGACAGAGCTTTTTCTTTCTCTATGTCTTAATGTCAAGAAAAGGGCGAAGGTTGTTTTCCTTAAACGATTGATACATGGCTCTGTCTAACCTGAACATTTCATTTCCTTAGACATACTCTTTTACACATATTGGTTTAATTAATCTTTCTCAGCCATTTTTTATTTTCTCTCTTTTTTTATATTGAAACATCTTTACTAACTTCTGTTATTTATCTATTCATACCTTTTCATTCCATTCATCTTTTCTTCAACTTACCAAAAGAATCTTTCATCAGTAAAAACTTTCGAATTCGATGATACCCGTAATCAGAAACAAACATGTTTCCAGAACTATCGAAACTCAAACTAGATGGACTACCCAATTGGTTGGACTGTGAACCCCTTCCATAACATCCAACTAAACATCGAAAACCATTCAAGCCTGAACCAACAATGCGACTATTTCTAAAATCCACAATAAATAAATATTTCTCAGCATCTAATATAATTCCAATTGGATAACGAAGTGTAATTGTTGGATTTAGTGATCTACTTCCAGCTACTGTGATACCATTTGATTCTCCCGACTGGAATAACTGAACTCGATCGTTTAGATAATCTGCTACATATAAATCCAAATTCACATCCACAAAGATTCCATAGGGAGCTCCGAGTTGATTCGAGTCTGATCCTTGAATACCTTTTCCAGCAGCAACACGGTTTGAATTCATCACAGATTCATTTAATGATCTTTTCACTACTTGATGTTGATTATACATTGAACAGTAAAGAGTATTATTGATATCGACAAATAAACCAGCACATTCTGAACTGACATTCATCACTGTAACAAAGGTATTTGTTTCTGCTATCCATTTCTGTACTCGACCATTCTTATATCCATCATCAATATAAATA